GTGGTGGAAAGCGGGAGAATGGGGCGGGCTGATGGAAAGAGGGGGAATGGGGCGGGGTGATGGAAAGAGGGAGAATAGGGCGGGGTGATGAAAAGCGGAAGAATGGGGCGGGGTGATGGAAAGAGGGAGAATGGGGCGGGGTGATGAAAAGCGGAAGAATGGGGCACGGTGATGGAAAGAGGGAGAATGGGGCGGGGTGATGGAAAGAGGGTTAATGGGGCGGGGTGATGGAAAGCGGAAGAATGGGGCGGGGTGATGGAAAGCAGGAGAATAGGGCGGGGTGATGGAAAGCGGGAGAATGGGGCGGGGTGATGGAAAGCGGGAGAATGGGGCGGGGTGATGGAAAGCGGGAGAATGGGGCGGGGTGATGGAAAACGATAGAATGGGGCGGGGTGATGGAAAGCGGGAGAATGGGGCGGGGTGATGGAAAGCTGGAGAATGGGGCGGGGTGATGGAAAGCGGAAGAATGGGGCGGGGTGATGGAAATAGGGAGAATGGGGCGGGGTGATGGAAAGCGGAAGAATGGGGCGGGGTGATGGAAAGAGGGAGAATGGGGCGGGGTGATGGAAAGAGAGAGAATGGGGTGGGGTGATGGAAAGAGGGAGAATGGGGCGGGGCGATGGAAAGCGGGAGAATGGGGCGGGGTGATGGAAATAGGGAGAATGGGGTGGGGTGATAGAAAAAGGGAGAATGGGGTGGGATGATGGAAAGAGGGAGAATGGGGCGGGGTGATGCAAAGAGGGAGAATGGGGCGGGGTGATGGAAAGCGGGAGAATGGGGCCGGGTGATGGAAAGCTGGAAAATGGGGCAGGGTGATGGAAAGCGGAAGAATGGGGCGGGGTGATGGAAAGCGGGAGAATAAGGCGGGGTGATGGAAAGCGGGAGAATGGGGCGAGGTGATGGAAAGTGGGAGAATGGGGCGGGGTGATGGAAAGCGGGAGAATGGGGAGGGGTGATGGAAAGCTGGAGAATGTGGCGGGGTGATGGAAAGCGGAAGAATGGGGCGGGGTGATGGAAATGGGGAGAATGGGGCGAGGTGATGGAAAGAGGGAGAACGGGGCGAGGTGATGGAAAGAGGGAGAATGGGGCGGGGTGATGGAAAGAGGGAGAATGGGGCGGGGTGATGGAAAGAGGGAGAATGGGGCGGGTTGATGGAAAGCGGGAGAATGGGGCGGGGTGATGGAAAGCGGGAGAATGGGGCGGGGTGATGGAAAGGGGGAGAATGGGGCAGGGTGATGAAAATAGGGAGAATGGGCCGGGCTGATGGAAATCGGGAGAATGGGGTGGGGTGATGGAAAGAGGGAGACTGGGGCGGGGTGATGAAAAGAGGGAGAATGGGACGGGGTGATGGAAAGCGGGAGAATGGGGCGGGGTGATGGAAAGCGGGAGAATGGGCCGGGGTGATGGAAAGCAGGAGAATGGGGCGAGGTGATGGAAAGCAGGAGAATGGGCCGGGGTGATGGAAAGCAGGAGAATGGAGCGGGGTGATGGAAAGCGGGAGAATGGGGCAGGGTGGTGGAAAGCGGGAGAATGGGGCGGGGTGATGGAAAGCGGGAGAATGGAGCGGGGTGATGGAAAGCGGGAAAATGGGGCAGGGTGATGGAGAGCGGGAGAATGGGGCGGGGTGATGGAAAGCGGGAGATTGGGGCGGGGTGATGGAAAGAGGAAGAAAGGGGCGGGGTGATGGAAAGCGGGAGAATGGGGCAAAGTGATGGAAAGCGGGAGAATGGGGCGGGGTGATGGAAAGCGGGAGAATGGGGCAGGGTGATGGAAAGCGGGAGAATGGGGCGGGGTGATGGAAAGCGGGAGAATGGGGCGGGGTGATGGAAAGCGGGAGCATGGGGCGAGGTGATGGAAAGCTTGAGAATGGGGCGGGGTGATGGAAAGCGGGAGAATGGGGCGGGGTGATGAAAAGCGGGAAAATGTGGTGGGGTGATGGAAAGCGGGATAATGGGGCTGGGTGACGGAAAGTGGGAGAAGGGGGCGGGGTGATGGAAAGAGGGAGAAAAGTCCGGGGTGATGGAAAGCGGGAGAATGGGGCGGGGTGATGGAAAGCGGGAGAATGGGGCGATGTGATGGAAAGCTGGAGAATGGGGCGGGGTGACGGAAAGGGGGTGAATGGGGCGAGGTGATGGAAAGCGGAAGAATGGGGCGGGGTGATGGAAAGCGGGAGAATGGGGCGGGGTGATGGAAAACGGGAGAATGGGGCGGGGTGATGAAAAGCGGGAGAATGGGGCAGGGTGATGGAAAGCTGGAGAATGGGGCGGGGTGATGGAAAGCGGAAGAATGGGGCAGGGTGATGGAAATAGGGAGAATTGGGCGGGGTGATGGAAAGCGGAAGAATGGGGCAGTGTGATGGAAAGAGGGAGAATGGGGCGAGGTGATGGAAAGCGGGAGAATGGGGCGGGGTGATGGAAATAGGGAGAATGGGGTGGGGTGATTGAAAGAGGGAGAATGGGGCGGGGTGATGGAAAGAGGGAGAATGGGGCGGGGTGATCAAAAGAGGGAGAATAGGGCAAGGTGATGGAAAGCGGGAGAATGGGGCGGGGTGATGGAAAGAGGAAGAAAGGGGCGGGGTGATGGAAAGCGGGAAAATGGGGTGGGGTTTTGGGAAGCAGGAGATTGGGGCGGGGTGATGGAAAGCGGGAGAATGGGGCGGGGTGATGGAAGGAGGGAGAATGGGGCGGGGTGATGGAAGGAGGGAGAACGGGGCGGAGTGATGGAAAGCGGGAGAATGGGGCGGGTTGATGGAAGGAGGGAGAAGGGGGCGGGGTGATGAAAAGCTGGAGAATGGGGCGGGGTGATGGAAAGAGGGAGAATAGGGCGGGGTGATGAAAAGCGGAAGAATGGGGCACGGTGATGGAAAGAGGGAGAATGGGGCGGGGTGATGGAAAGAGGGTTAATGGGGCGGGGTGATGGAAAGCGGAAGAATGGGGCGGGGCGATGGAAAGCGGGAGAATGGGCCGGGGTGATGGAAAGCGGGAGAATGGGGCGGGGTGATGGAGCGGGAGAATGGGGCGGGTGATGGAAAGTGGGAGAATGGGGCGCGGTGATGGAAAGAGGGAGAATAGGGCGGGGTGATGGAAAGAGGGAGAATGGGGCGGGGTGATGAAAAGAGGGAGAATGGGTCGGGGTGATGGAAAGCGGGAGAATAGGGCAGGGTGATGGAAAACGGGAGAATGGGGTGGGGTGATGGAAAGCGGGAGAATGGGGCGGGGTGATGGAAAGCAGGAGAATGGGGCGGGGTGATGGAAAGCGGGAGAATGGGGCGGGGTGATGGAAAGCGGGAGAATGGGGCGGGGTGATGGAAAGCGGGAGAATGGGGCGGGGTGATGGAAAGCGGGAGAATGGGGCAGGGTGATGGAAAGCGGGAGAATGGGGCAGGGTGGTGGAAAGCGGGAGAATGGGGCGGGCTGATGGAAAGAGGGGGAATGGAGCGGGGTGATGGAAAGAAGGAGAATGGGGAGGGGTGATGGAAAGCGGGAGAATGGGGCGGGGTGATGGAAAGCGGGAGAATGGGGCTTCAAGCCCTCAAGCCCTCAAGCCTTCAAGCCTTCAAGCCTTCAAGCCCTCAAGCCCTCAAGCCCTGAAGCCCTCAAGCATTCAAGCCTTCAAGCCGTCAAGCCTTCAAGCCTTCAAGCCCTCAACCCATCAAGCCTTCAAGCCCTCAAGCCCTTAAGCCCTCAAGCCCTCAAGCCCTTAAGCACTCAAGCCCTCAAGCCTTCAAGCCTTCAAGCCTTCAAGCCTTCAAGCCTTCAAGTCCTCAAGCCCTCAAGCCCTCAAGCCTTTTAGCCCTCAAGCCCTCAAGCCTTCAAGCCTTCAAGCCTTCAAGTCCTCAAGCCCTCAAGCCCTCAAGCCTTCAAGCCCTCAAGCCTTCAAGCCTTCAAGCCTTCAAGCCTTCAAGCCTTCAAGCCTTCAAGCTTTCAGGCCCTCAAGCCCTCAAGCCTTCAAGCCCTCAAGCCCTCAAGCCCTCAAGCCTTCAAGCCTTCAAGCCTTCAAGCCTTCAAGCCCTCAAGCCATCAAGCCTTCAAGCCCTCAAGCCCTCAAGCCCTTAAGCCCTCAAGCCCTTAAGCACTCAAGCCCTCAAGCCTTCAAGCCTTCAAGCCTTCAAGCCTTCAAGCCTTCAAGTCCTCAAGCCCTCAAGCCCTCAAGCCTTTAAGCCCTCAAGCCCTCAAGCCTTCAAGCCTTCAATCCTTCAAGCCTTCAAGCCTTCAAGCCCTCAAGCCTTCAAGCCCTCAAGCCTTCAAGCCCTCAAGCCCTCAAGCCCTCAAGCCTTCAAGCCTTCAAGCCCTCAAGGCCCCATTCTCCCACTTTCCATCACCCCGCCCCATTCTCCCGCTTTCCATCACCCCGCCCCATTCTCCCGCTTTCTATCACCCCGCTCCATTCTCCCGCTTTCCATCAACCCGCCCCATTCTCCCGCTTTCTATCACCCCGCCCCATTCTCCCTCTTTCCTTCACCCCGCCCCATTCTCCCGCTTCCCATCACCCCGCCCCATTCTCCCTCTTCCCATCACCCCGCCCCATTCTCCCGCTTTCGATCACCCCACCCCATTCTCCCGCTTTTTATCACCCCGCCCCATTCTCCCGCTTTCCTTCACCCCGCCCCATTCCCCGGCTTCCCATCACCCTGCCCCATTCTCCCTCTTCCCATCACCCCGCCCCATTCTCCCGCTTTCCATCACCCCACCCCATTCTCCCGCTTTCCATCACCGCGCCCCATTCTCCCCCATCACCCCACCCCATTCTCCTGCTTTCCATCGCCCCGCCCCATTCTACCTCTTTCCATCACCCTGCCCCATTGTCCCGCTTTCCATCACCCCGTCCCATTCTCCCGCTTTCCATCACCCTGCCCCATTCTCCCTCTTTCCATCATCCCCACCCATTCTCTCGCTTTCCATCACCCCGCCCCATTCTCCCTCTTTCCATCACCCCGCCTTATTCTCCCTCTTTCCATCACCCCGCCCCATTCTCCGGCTTTCCATCACCCCGCCCCATTCTCCCGCTTTCCATCACCCCGCCCCATTCTCCCGCTTTCTATCACCCCGCTCCATTCTTCCGCTTTCCATCAACTCGCCCCATTCTCCCGCTTTCTATCACCCCGCCCCATTCTCCCTCTTTCCTTCACCCCGCCCCGTTCTCCCACTTCCCATCACCCCGCCCCATTCTCCCTCTTCCCATCACCCCGCCCCATTCTCCCGCTTTCGATCACCCCGCCCAATTCTCCCGCTTTCCATCACCCCGCCCTATTCTCCCGCTTTCCTTCACCCCGCCCCATTCTCCCGCTTTCCATCACCCCGCCCCATTCTTCCACTTTCCATCACCCCCCTCCATTCTCCCGCTTTCCATCACCGCGCCCCATTCTTCCGCTTTCTATCACCCCCCCTCCATTCTCCCTCTTTCCTTCACCCTGCCCCATTCTCCTGCTTCCCATCACCCCGCCCCATTTTCCCGTTTTCGATCACCCCGCCCCATTCTCCCGCTTTCCATCACCCCGCCCCATTGTCCCTCTTTCCATCACCCCGCCCCATTCTCCCGCTTTCCATCACCCCGCCCCATTCTTTCGATTTCTATCATCCCGCCCCATTCTCCAGCCTCTTTCCATCACCCCGCCCCATTCTCCCGCTTTCCATCACCCCGCCCCATTCTCCCGCTTTCCATCACCCCGCCCCATTCTCCCTCTTTCGATCACCCCGCCCCATTCTCCCACTTTCCATCACCCCGCCCCATTCTCCCGCTTCTTTCCATCACCCCGCCCCATTCTCCCGCTTTCCATCACCCCGCCCCATTCTCCCGCTCTCCATCACCCCGCCCCATTCTCCCGCTTTCCATCACCCCGCCCCATTCTCCAGCTTTCCATCACCCCGCCCATTCTCCACATTCCATCACCCCGCCCCATTCTCCCGCTTTCCATCACCCCGCCCCATTCTCCCGCTTTCCATCACCCCGCCCCATTCTCCTGCTTTCCATCACCCCGCCCCATGCTCCCGCTTTCCATCACCCCGCCCCATTCTCCCGCTTTCCATCGCCCTGCCCCATTCTCCCGCTTTCCATCACCCCGCCCCATTCTCTTGCTTTCTATCACCCTGCCTCATTCTACCTCTTTTCATCATCCCGCCCCATTCTCCCTCATTCCATCACCCTGCCTCATTCTCCCTTTTTACATCACCCCGCCCCATTCTCCCTCTTCCATCACCCCGCCCCATTCTTCCGCTTTCCATCACCCCGCCCCATTCTCCCGCTTTCCATCACCCCGCCCCATTCTCTTGCTTTCCATCACCCTGCCTCATTCTACCTCTTTTCATCATCCCGCCCCATTCTCCCTCATTCCATCACCCTGCCTCATTCTCCCTTTTTACATCACCCCGCCCCATTCTCCCTCTTCCATCACCCCGCCCCATTCTTCCGCTTTCCATCACCCCGCCCCATTCTCTTGCTTTCCATCACCCCGCCCCATTCTCCCGCTTTCCATCACCCCGCCCCATTCTCCCGCTTTCCATCACCCCGCCCCATTCTCCAGCTTTCCATCACCCTGCCCATTCTCCACATTCCTTCACCCCGCCCCATTCTCCCACTTTCCATCACCCCGCCCCATTCTCCCGCTTTCCATCACCCCGCCCCATTCTCCCGCTTCCCATCACCCCGCCCCATTCTCCCTCTTTCCATCACCCCGCCCCATTCTCCCTCTTTCCATCACCCCGCCCCATTCTCCCGCTTTCCATCAGCCCGCCTCATTCTCCCGCTTTCCATCACCCCGCCCCACGCTTTCCATCGCCCTGCCCTATTCTCCCGCTTTCCATCACCCCGCCCCATTCTCTTGCTTTCCATCACCCTGCCCCATTCTACTTCTTTTCATTATCCATCCCTATTCTCCCTCATTACATCACCACGCCCCATTCTCCCTCTTTCCATCACCCCGCCCCATTCTTCTGCTTTCCATCACCCCGCCCCATTCTCGCTCTTTCACTCACCCCGCCCCATTCTCACGCTTTCCATCACCCCGCCCCATTCTCCCGCTTTCCATCACCCCGCCCCATTCTCCCGATTTCCATCACCCCGCCCCATTCTCCCGCTTTCCATCACCCCGCCCCATTCTCCCGCTTTCCATCACCCCGCCCCATTCTCCCGCTTTCCATAACCCCGCCCCATTCTCCCTCTTTCCATCCTTCCGCCCCATTCTCCCGGTTTCCATCACCTCGCCCCATTCTCCCGCTTTCCATCACCCCGCGCCATTCTCCCGCTTTCCATCACCCCGCCCCATTCTCCCGCTTTCCATCACCCCGCCCCATTCTCTCGCTTTCCATCACCCCGCCCCATTTTACCTCTTTCCATCACCCCGTTCCATTCTCCCTCTTTCCGTCACCCCACCTCATTCTCCCTCTTTCCATCACCCCGCTCCATTCTCCCTCTTTCGATCACCCCGCCCCATTCTCCCGCTTTCCTTCACCCCACCCCATTCTCCTGCTTTCCATCACCCCGCCCCATTCTCCCGCTTTCCATCACCCCGCCCCATTCTCCCTCTTTCGATCACCCCGCCTCATTCTCCCGCTTTCCATCACCCCGCCCCATTCTCCCACTTTCCATCACCCCGCCCCATTCTCCCTCTTTCTATCACCCCGCCCCATTCTCCCGCTTTCCATCACCCCGCCCCATTCTCCCGCTTTCCATCACCCCACCCCAGTCTCCCGCTTTCCATCACCCCACCCCATTCTCCCGCTTTCCATCACCCCGCCCCATTCTCCCTCTTTCCATCACCCCACCCCGTTCTCCAGCTTTCCATCACCCCGACCTTTTCTCCCTCTTTCCATCTCCCCGCCCCATTCTCCCGCTTTCCATCACCCCGCCCCGTTCTCCCACTTTCCATCACCCCGCCCCATTCTCCCGCTTTCCATCACCCCGCCCCATTCTCCCGCTTTCCATCACCACGCCCCATTTTCCCGCTTTCCATCACCCCGCCCCACTCTCCAACTTTCCATCACCCCGCCCCATTCTCCCGCTTTCCATCACCCCGCCCCATTCTCCCGCTTTCCATCACCCAGCCCCATTCTCCCGCTTTCCATCACCCCGCCCCATTCTCCCGCTTTCCATCACCCCGCCCCATTCTCCCGCTTTCCATCACCCCGCCCCATTCTCCCGCTTTCCATCACCCCGCCCCATTCCCCCTCTTTCAATCACCCCGCCCCATTCTCCTGCTTTTAATCACCCTCCCTATTCTCCCGCTTTCCATCACCCCGCCCCATTCTCCCGCTTTCCATCACCCCGCCCCATTCTCCCGCTTTCCATCACCCCGCCCCATTCTCCCGCTTTCCATCACCCCGCCCCATTCTCCCTCTTTCCATCACCCCGCCCCATTCTCCTGCTTTCCATCACCCCGCCCCATTCTCCCGCTTTCCATCACCCCGCCCCATTCTCCCGCTTTCCATCACCCCGCCCCATTCTCCCGCTTTCCATCACCCCGCCTCATTCTCCCTCTTTCTATCACCCCGCCCCATTCTCCCGCTTTCCATCACCCCGCCCCATTCTCCCGCTTTCCATCACCCCACCCCAGTCTCCCGCTTTCCATCACCCCGCCCCATTCTCCGGCTTTCCATCACCCCGCCCCATTCTCCCTCTTTCCATCACCCCACCCCATTCTCCAGCTTTCCATCAACCCGCCCCATTCTCCCTCTTTCCATCACCCCGCCCCATTCTCCCGCTTTCTATCACCCCACCCCGTTCTCCCACTTTCCATCACCCCGCCCCATTCTCCCGCTTTCCATCACCCCGCCCCATTCTCCCGCTTTCCATCACCATGCCCCATTTTCCCGCTTTCCATCACCCCGCCTCACTCTCCAACTTTCCATCACCCCGCCCCATTCTCCCGCTTTCCATCACCCCGCCCCATTCTCCCGCTTTCCATCACCCCGCACCATTCTCCCGCTTTCCATCACCCCGCCCCATTCTCCCGCTTTCCATCACCCCGCCCCATTCTCCCGCTTTCCATCACCTCGCCCCATTCTCCCGCTTTCCATCACCCCGCCCCATTCTCCCGCTTTCCATCACCATGCCCCATTCCCCCTCTTTCCATCACCCCGCCCCATTCTCCTGCTTTCAATCACCCCTCCCCATTCTCCCGCTTTCCATCACCCCGCCCCATTCTCCCGCTTTCCATCACCCCGCCCCATTCTCCCGCTTTCCATCACCCCGCCCCATTCTCCCGCTTTCCATCACCCCGCCCCATTCTCCCTCTTTCCATCACCCCGCCCCATTCTCCTGCTTTCCATCACCCCCCCCCATTCTCCCGCTTTCCATCACCCCGCCCCATTCTCCCGCTTTCCATCACCCCGCTCCATTCTCCCGCTTTCCATCACCCCGCCCCGTTCTCCCGCTTTCCATCACCCCGCCCCATTCTCCCGCTTTCCATCACCCCGCACCATTCTCCCGCTTTCCATCACCCCGCCCCATTCTCCCGCTTTCCATCACCCCGCCCCATTCTCCCGCTTTCCATCACCCCGCCCCATTCTCCCGCTTTCCATCACCCCGCCCCATTCTCCAACTTTCCATCACCCCGCCCCATTCTCCCGCTTTCCATCACCCCACCCCATTCTCCTGCTTTCCATCACCCCGCCCCATTCTCCCGCTTTCCATCACCCTGCCCCATTCTCCCGCTTTCCATCACCCTGCCCCATTCTCCCGCTTTCCATCAACCCGCCCATTCTCCCGCTTTCCATCACCCTGCCCCATTCTCCCGCTTTCCATCACCCCGCCCCATTCTCCCGCTTTCCATCACCCTGCCCCATTCTCCCGCTTTCCATCACCCCGCCCCATTCTCCCTCCCATCACCCCGCCCCATTCTCCCTCCTTCCATCACCCCGCCCCATTCTCCCACTTTCCATCACCCCGCCCCATTCTCCCGCTTTCCATCACCCCGCCCCATTCTCCCGCTTTCCATCACCCCGCCCCATTCTCCCGCTTTCCATCACCCCGCCCCATTCTCCCGCTTTCCATCACCCTGCCCCATTCTCCCGCTTTCCATCACCCCGCCCATTCTCCCGCTTTCCATCACCCTGCCCCATTCTCCCGCTTTCCATCACCCCGCCCTATTCTCCCGCTTTCCATCACCCCGCCCAATTCTCCCGCTTTCCACCACCCCGCCTCATTCTCCCGCTTTCCATCACCCCGCCCCATAATCCCGCTTTCCATCACCCCGCCCCATTCTCCCTCCTTCCATCACCCCGCCCCATTCTCACTTCTTCCATCACCCCGCCCCATTCTCCCTCCTTCCATCACCCCGCCCCATTCTCCCGCTTTCCATCACCCCGCCCCATTCTCCCGCTTTCCATCACCCCGCCCCATTCTCCCGCTTTCCATCACCCCACCCCATTCTCCATCTTTTCATCACCCCGCCCCATTCTCCCGCTTTCCATCACCTCGCCCCATTCTCCCGCTTTCCATCACCCCGCCCCATTCTCCCGCTTTCCATCAGCCCACCCCATTCTCCATCTTTTCATCAACCCGCCCCATTCTCCTGCTTTCCATCACCCCGCCCCCATTCTCCAGCTTTCCATCACCCCGCCCCATTCCCCCTCCTTCCATCACCCCACCCCATTCTCTCGCTTTCCATCACCCCTACCCATGCTCCCGCTTTCCATCACCCTACCCCATTCTCCATCTTTTCATCACCCCGCCCCATTCTCCCACTTTCCATCACCCCGCACATTCTCCCGCTTTCCATCAACCCGCCCCATTCTCCCTCCTTCCATCACCCTGCCCCATTCTCCCGCTTTCCATCACCTCGCCCCATTCTCCCGCTTTCCATCACCCCACCCCATTCTCCCGCTTTCCATCACCCCACCCCATTCTCCATCTTTTCATCACCCCGCCCCATTCTCCCGCTTTCCATCACCCCGCACCATTCTCCCGCTTTCCATCACCCCGCCCCATTCTCCCTCCTTCCATCGACCCGCCCCATTCCCCCTCCTTCCATCACCCCGCCCCATTCTCCCGCTTTCCATCACCCCGCCCCATTCTCCCGCTTTCCATCACCCCGCCCCATTCTCCCTCTTTCCATCACCCCGCCCCATTCTCCCGCTTTCCATCACCCCGCGCCATTCTCCCGCTTTCCATCACCCTGCCCCATTCTCCCGCTTTCCATCACCCCGCCCATTCTCCCGCTTTCCATCACCCCGCCCCATTCTCCCGCTTTCCATCACCCCGCCCCATTCTCCCTCCTTCCATCATCCCGCCCCATTCTCCCTCTTTCCATCACCCCGCCCCGTTCTCCCGCTTTCCATCACCACGCTCCATTCTCCCTCTTTCCATCACCTCGCCCCATTCTCCCTCCTTCCATCACCCCGTCCCATTCTCCCGCTTTCCATCACCCCGCTCCATTCTCCCGCTTTCCATCACCCCGCCCAATTCTCTCTCTTTCCATCACCGCTCCCTATTCTCCCTCTTTCCATCACCCCGCCCCATTCTCCCGCTTTCCATCAACCCGCCCCATTCTCCCGCTTTCCATCACCCCGCCCCATTCTCCCGCTTTCCATCACCCCGCCCCATTCTCTCGCTTTCCATCACCCCGCCCAATTCTCCCTCTTTCCATCACCCCGCCCCGTTCTCCCGCTTTCCATCACCTCGCCCCGTTCTCCCGCTTTCCATCACCCCGCCCCATTCTCCCCCTTTCCATCACCTTGCCACATTCTCCCGCTTTCCATCACCCCGCCCCATTCTCCCTCTTTCCATCACCCCGCCCCGTTCTCCCGCTTTCCATCACCCCGCCCCGTTCTCCCGCTTTCCATCACCCCGCCCCATTCTCCCCCTTTCCATCACCCCGCCCCATTCTCCCCCTTTCCATCACCCCGCCCCATTCTCCCTCTTTCCATCAGCCCGCCCAATTCTCCCTCTTTCCATCACCCCACCCCATTCTCCCGCTTTCCATCACCCCGCCCCATTCTCCCGCTTTCCATCACCCCGCCCCATTCTCCCTCTTTCCATCACCCTGCCCCATTCTCCCTCTATGCATCACCCCCAATTCTCCCGCTTTCCATCACCCCGTCCCATTCTCCCGCTTTCCATCACCCCACCCCATTCTTTTGCTTTCCATCACCCCACCCCATCCTCCCTCTTTCCATCACCCCGCCCCATTCTCCCGCTTTCCATCACCCCGCCCCATTCTCCCTCTTTCCATCAGCCCGCCCCATTCTCCCTCTTTCCATCACCCCGCCCCATTCTCCCGCTTTCCATCACCCCGCCCCATTCTCCCGCTTTCCATCACCCCGCCCCATTCTCCCTCTTTCCATCACCCTGCCCCATTCTCCCTCTATCCATCACCCCGCCCAATTCTCCCGCTTTCCATCACCCCGCCCCATTCTCCCTCTATCCATCACCCCACCCAATTCTTCTCTTTCCATCACCCCGCCCCATTCTCCGGCTTTCCATCACCCCGCCAAATTCTCCCACTTTCCATCACCCCGCTCCATTCTCCCGCTTTCCATCACCCCGCCCAATTCTCCCTCTTCCCATTACCCCTCCCCATTCTCCCTCTTTCCATCACCCCGCCCCATTCTCCCGCTTTCCATCACCCCGCCCCATTCTCCCTCTTTCCATCACCCCGCCCCATTCTCCCGCTTTCCATCACCCTGCCCCATTCTCCCTCTTTCCATCACCCCGCTCCATTCTCCTGCTTTCCATCACCCCGCCCCATTCTCCCGCTTTCCATCACCCCGCTCCATTCTCCCGCTTTCCATCACCCGCCCCATTCTCCCGCTTTCCATCACCCCGCCCCATTCTCCCTCTTTCCATCACCCCGCCCCATTCTCCCTCTTTCCATCACCCCTCCCCGTTCTCCCGCTTTCCATCACCCAGCCCTATTCTCCGTCTTTCCATCACCCCGCCCCAGTCTCGCACTTTCAATCACCCCGCCCCATTCTCCCGCTTTCCATCACCCCGCCCCATTCTCCCCCTTTCCATCACCCCGCCCCATTCTCCCACTTTCCATCACCCCGCCCCATTCTCCCGATTTCCATCACCCCGCCCCATTCTCCCTCTTTGCATTAGCCCGCCCCATTCTCCCTCTTTCCATCACCCCGCCCCATTCTCCCGCTTTCCATCACCCCGCCCCATTCTCCCGCTTTCCATCACCCCGCCCCATTCTCCCGCTTTCCATCACCCCGCTCCATTCTCCCGCTTTCCATCAACCCGCCCAATTCTCCCTCTTCCCATTACCCCTCCCCATTCTCCCTCTTTCCATCACCCCGCCCCATTCTCCCGCTTTCCATCACCCCGCCCCATTCTCCCTCTTTCCATCACCCCGCCCCATTCTCCCGCTTTCCATCACCCCGCCCCATTCTCCCTCTTTCCATCAACCCGCCCCATTCTCCCTCTTTCCATCACCCCGCCCCATTCTCCCGCCTTCCATCACCCCGCCCCATTCTCCCTCTTTCCATCACCCCGCTCCATTCTCCCGCTTTCCATCACCCCGCCCCATTCTTCCGCTTTCCATCACCCCGCTCCATTCTCCCGCTTTCCATCACCCCGCCCCATTCTCCCGCTTTCCATCACCCCGCCCCATTCTCCCTCTTTCCATCACCCCGCCCCGTTCTCCCGCTTTCCATCACCACGCTCCATTCTCCCTCTTTCCATCACCTCGCCCCATTCTCCCTCCTTCCATCACCCCGTCCCATTCTCCCGCTTTCCATCACCCCGCTCCATTCTCCCGCTTTCCATCACCCCGCCCAATTCTCTCTCTTTCCATCACCGCTCCCTATTCTCCCTCTTTCCATCACCCCGCCCCATTCTCCCGCTTTCCATCAACCCGCCCCATTCTCCCGCTTTCCATCACCCCGCCCCATTCTCCCGCTTTCCATCACCCCGCCCCATTCTCTCGCTTTCCATCACCCCGTCCAATTCTCCCTCTTTCCATCACCCCGCCCCGTTCTCCCGCTTTCCATCACCCCGCCCCGTTCTCCCGCTTTCCATCACCCCGCCCCATTCTCCCCCTTTCCATCACCTTGCCACATTCTCCCGCTTTCCATCACCCCGCCCCATTCTCCCTCTTTCCATCACCCCGCCCCATTCTCCCGCTTTCCATCACCCCGCCCCGTTCTCCCGCTTTCCATCACCCCGCCCCATTCTCCCCCTTTCCATCACCCCGCCCCATTCTCCCCCTTTCCATCACCCCGCCCCATTCTCCCTCTTTCCATCAGCCCGCCCAATTCTCCCTCTTTCCATCACCCCACAACATTCTCCCGCTTTCCATCATTCCGCCCCATTCTCCCGCTTTCCATCACCCCGCCCCATTCTCACTCTTTCCATCACCCTGCCCCATTCTCCCTCTATCCATCACCCCGCCCAATTCTCCCGCTTTCCATCACCCCGTCCCATTCTCCCGCTTTCCATCACCCCGCCCCATTCTTTTGCTTTCCATCACCCCACCCCATCCTCCCTCTTTCCATCACCCCGCCCCATTCTCCCGATTTCCATCACCCCGCCCCGTTCCCCCGCTTTCCATCACCCCGCCCCATTCTCCCGCTTTCCATCATCCCGCCCCATTCTCCCGCTTTCCATCACCCCGCCCCATTCTCCCTCTTTCCATCACCCCGCCCCATTCTTCCTCTTTCCATCACCCAGCCCCATTCTCCCGATTTCCATCACCCCGCCCCATTCTTCCTCTTTCCATCACCCCGCCCCATTCTCCCTCTTTCCATCACCCCGCCCCATTCTCCCTCTTTCCATCACCACGCCCCACTCTCCCGCCTTCCATCACCCCGCCCCATTCTCTCGCTTTCCATCATCCCGCTCCATTGTCTCGCTTTCCATCACCCCGCCCAATTCTCCCTCTTTCCATCACCCCTCCCCATTCTCCCTTTTTCCATCACCCCGCCCCATTCTCCCGCTTTCCATCACCCCGCCCCATTCTCCCTCTTTCCATCACCCCACCCCACTCTCCCGCCTTCCATCAACCCGCCCAATTCTCCCTCTTTCCATCAGCCCGCCCCATTCTCCCTCTTTCCATCACCCCGCCCCATTCTCCCGCTTTCCATCACCCCGCCCCATTCTCCTTCTTTCCATCACCCCGCCCCATTCTCCCTCTTTCCATCACCCCGCCCCATTCTCCCGCTTTCCATCACCCTGCGCCATTTTCCCTCTATCCATCGCCCCGCCCCATTCTCCCGCTTTCCATCACCCCGCCCCATTCTCTCGCTTTCCATCATCCCGCTCCATAGTCCCGCTTTCCATCACCCCGCCCAATTCTCACTCTTTCCATCACCCCTCCCCATTCTCCCTTTTTCCATCACCCCGCCCCATTCTCCTGCTTTCCATCACCCCGCCCCATTCTCCCTCTTTCCATCACCCCGCCCCATTCTCCCTCTTTCCATCACCCCGCCCCATTCTCCCTCTTTCCATCACCTCGCCCCATTCTCCCGCTTTCCATCACCCCGCCCCATTCTCCTGCTTTCCATCACCTCGCTCCATTCTCTTGCTTTCCATCACCCCGCCCAGTTCTCCCTCTTTCCATCACCCCTCCCCATTCTCCCTCTTTCCATCACCCCGCCCCATTCACCCTCTTTCCATCACCCCGCCCCATTCTCCCTCTTTCCATCACCCCACCCCATTCCCCCTCTTTCCATCACCCCATCCCATTCCCCCTCTTTCCATCACACCGCCTCATTCTCCCGCTTTCCATCACCCCGCCCCATTCTCCCTGGTTCCATCACCCCACCCCATTCTCCCGCTCTCAATCACCCCGCCCCGTTCTCCCGTTTTCCATCACCCCTCCCCATTCTCCCTCTTTCCATCACCCCGCCCCATTCTCCCTCTTCCATCAACCCGCCCCATTCTCCCGCTTTCCATTACCCCGCCCCATTCTCCCACTGTCCATCACCCTGCTCCGTTCTCCCGCTTTCCATCACCCCGCCCAATTCTCCCTCTTTCTATCACCCCTCTCCATTCTCCCTCTTTCCATCACCTCGCCCCATTCTCCCGCTTTCTATCACCTTGCCCCATTCTCCCTTTTTCCATTACCCCGCCCCATTCTTCCGCTTTCCATCACCCCGCCCCATTCTCCCTCTTTCCATCACCCCGCCCCATTATCCCACTTTCCATCACCCCGCCCCATTCTCCCGCTTTCCATCACCCCGCCGCATTCACCCTCTTTCCATCACCCCGCCCCATTCTCCCGCTTTCCATCACCCCGCCCCATTCTCTGGTTTCCATCACCCCGCTCCATTCTCCCGCTTTCCATCACCCCGCCCACCATCACCCCTCCCCATTCTCCCTCTTTCCATCACCCCACCCCATTCACCCTCTTTCCATCACCCCCCCCCATTCTCCCTCTCTCCATGACCCCGCCCCATTCCCCCTCTTTCCATCACCCCGCCCCATTCTCCCTGTTTCCATCACCCCGCCCCATTCTCCCTGTTTCCATCACCCCGCCTCATTCTCACGCTTTCCATCACCCCGCCCCATTCTCCCGCTTTCCATCACCCCGCCCCATTCTCCCGCTTTCTTTCACCCCGCCCCATTTTCCCGCTTTCCATCATCCCGCCCCGTTCTCCCGCTTTCCATCACCCCGCCCCATTCTCCCGCTTTCCATCACCTCGCCCCGTTCTCCCGCTTTCCATCACCCCGCCCCGTTCTCCCGCTTTCCATCACCCCGTCCCATTCTCCCCCTTTCCATCACCCCGCCCCAGTCTCCCGCTCTCAATCACCCCGCCCCATTCTCCCGTTTTCCATCACCCCTCCCCATTCTCCCTCTCTCCATCACCCTGCCCCATTCTCCCTCTTTCCATCACCCTGCCCTGTTCTCCCGCTTTCAATCACCCCGCCCCATTCTCCCGCTTTGCATCACCCCGCCCCATTCTCCCTCTTTCCATCACCCCGCCCCATTCTCCCTCTATCCATCACCCCGCCCCATTCTCCCGCTTTCCATCACCCTCTCCCATTCTCCCGCTTTCCATCACCACGCCCCATTTTCTTGCTTTCCATCACCCCGCCCCATTCTCCCGCTTTCCATCACCCTGCCCCATTCTCCGGCTTTCTATCACCCCGCCCCATTCTCCCGCTTTCCATCACCCCGCCCCATTCTCCCGCTTTCCATCACCCCGCCCCATTCTCCTGCTTTCCATCACCCCACCCCATTCACCCTCTTTCCATCACCCCGCCCCATTCTCCCGCTTTCCATCACCCCGCCCCATTCTCCGGTTTCCATCACCCCGCTCCATTCTCCCGCTTTCCATCACCCCGCCCACCATCACCCCTCCCCATTCTCCCTCTTTCCATCACCCCACCCCATTCACCCTCTTTCCATCACCCCGCCCCATTCTCCCTCTTTCCATGACCCCGCCCCATTCCCCCTCTTTCCATCACCCCGCCCCATTCTCCCTGTTTCCATCACCCCGCCCCATTCTCCCTGTTTCCATCAGTCCGCCTCATTCTCACGCTTTCCATCACCCCGCCCCATTGTCCCGCTTTCCATCACCCCGCCCCGTTCACCCGCTTTCTTTCACCCCACCCCATTTTCCCGCTTTCCATCATCCCGCCCCGTTCTCCCGCTTTCCATCACCGTGCCCCGTTCTCCCGCTTTCCATCACCTCGCCCCGTTCTCCCGCTTTCCATCACCCCGCCCCGTTCTCCCGCTTTCCATCACCCCGCCCCATTCTCCCCCTTTCCATCACCCCGCCCCAGTCTCCCGCTCTCAATCACCCCGCCCCATTCTCCCGTTTTCCATCACCCCTCCCCATTCTCCCTCTCTCCATCACCCCGCCCAATTCTCCCTCTTTCCATCACCCCGCCCTGTTCTCCCGCTTTCAATCACCCCGCCCCATTCTCCCGCTTTGCATCACCCCGCCCCATTCTCCCTCTTTTCATCACCACTCTCCATTCTCCCTCTTTCCATCATCCCGCCCTATGCTCCTGCTTTCCATCACCCCACCCCATTCCCCTCTTTCCATCACCCCGCCCCATTCTCCCGCTTTCCAGCACCCCGCCCCATTCTCCCTCTTTCCACCACCTCGCCCCATTCTCCCTGTTTCCATTACCCCTCCCCATTCTCCCTCTTTCCATCACCCCGCCCCATTCTCCCGCTTTCCATCACCCCGCCCCATTCTCCCGCTTTCCATCACCCCGCCCCGTTCTCCCACTTTCCATCACCCCGCCCCGTTCTCCCGCTTTCCATCACCTCGCCTCGTTCTCCCGCTTTCCATCACCCCGCCCCGTTCTCCCGCTTTCCATCACCCCGCCCCATTCTTCCCCTTTCCATCACCCCGCCCTAGTCTCCCGCTCTCAATCACCCCGCCCCATTCTCCCGTTTTCCATCACCCCTCCCCATTCTTCCTCTTTCCATCACCCGGCCCTGTTCTCCCGCTTTTAATCACCCCGCCCTATTCTCCCGCTTTCCATCACCCCGCCCCATTCTCCCTCTATCCATCACCCTGCCCCATTCTCCCACTTTCGATCACCCCGCCCCATTCTCTTGCTTTCCATCACCCAGCCCCATTCTCCCGCTTTCCATCACCCCGCCCCACTCTCCCGCTTTCCATCACCCCGCCCCATTCTTCCTCTTTCCAAAACCCCGCCCCATTCTCCCGCTTTCCATCACTTCGCCCCATTCTCCAGCTTTCCATCACCCCGCTCCATTCTCGCTCTCTCCATCACCCCGCCCCATTCTCCCGTTTTCCATCACCCCACCCCATTCTCCCTCTTTCCATCACCCCGCCCCATTCTCCCTCTTTCCATCACCCCGCCCCATTCTTCCTCTTTCCAAAACCCCGCCCCATTCTCCCGCTTTCCATCACTCCGCCCCATTCTCCAGCTTTCCATCACCCCGCTCCATTCTCGCTCTCTCCATCACCCCGCCCCATTCTCCCGTTTTCCATCACCCCACCCCATTCTCCCTCTTTCCATCACCCCGCCCCATTCTCCCTCTTTCCATCACCCCGCCCCATTCTCCCTCTTTCCATCACCCAACCTTGTTCTCCCTCTTTCCATCACCCCGCCCCACTCTCCATCTTTCCATCATCCCGCCCCATTCTCCCGCCTTCCATCACCCAGCCCCATTCTCCCTCTTTACATCACCCTGCCCCATTCTCCCGATTTCTACCACACCGCCCGATTCTCCCGCTTTCCATCACCCCGCCCCATTCTCCCTCTTTCCATCACCCCGCCCCATTCTCCCGCTTTCCATCACCCCGCCCCATTTTCCCTCTTTCCATCACCCCGCCCCATTCTCCCGCTTTCCATCACCCCGCCCCATTCTCCCTCTTTCTATCACCCCTCCCCATTCTCCCGCTTTCCATCACCCCGCCCAATTCTCCCTCTTTCTATCACCCCTCCCCATTCTCCCTTTTTCCATCACCCCGCCCCATTCTCCCTCTTTCCATCACCCCGCTTCATTCTCCCGCTTTCCATCACCCCGCCCCATTCTCCCGCTTTCTATCACCCCGCCCCATTTTCACTCTTTCCATCACCGCGCCACATTCTCCCGCTTTCCATCACCCCGCCCCATTCTCCCGCTTTCCATCACCCCGCCCCATTCTCCCGCTTTCCATCAGCCCACCCCATTCTCCAGCATTCCATCACCCCGCTCCATTCTCTCGCTTTCCATCACCCCGCCCAATCCTCCCTCCTTCCATCACCCCTCCCCATTCTCCCTCTTTCCATCACCCCGCCCCATTCTCCCGCTTTCCATCACCCCGCCCCATTCTCTCTCTTTCCATCACCCCGCCCCATTCTCCCTCTTTCCATCACCCCGCCACATTCTCCCTCTTTCCATCACCCTGCCCTATTCTCCCTGTTTCCATCACCCCGCCCCATTCTCCCTGTTTCCATCACCCCGCCCGATTCTCCCGCTTTCCATCACCCCGCCCCATTCTGCCTGTTTCCATCACCCCGCCACGTTCTCCCGCTTTCCATCACCCCACCCCATTCTCCCCCTTTCCATCACCCCGCCCCATTCTCCCGCTCTCAATCACCCCGCCCCATTCTCCCGTTTTCCATCACCCCTCCCCATTCTCCCTCTTTCCATCACCCCGCCCCATTCTCCCTCTTTCCATCACCCTGCCCCATTCTCTCGCTTTCTATCACCCCGCCCCATTCTCCCGCTTTCCATCATCCCGCTCCATTCTCCCCCTTTCCATCACCCCGCCCAATTCTCCCTCTTTCCATCACCCCTCCCCATTCTCCCTCTTTCCATCACCCCGCCCCATTCTCCCGCTTTCCATCACCCCGCCCCATTCTCCCGCTTTCCATCACCCCGCCCAATTCTCCCTGTTTCCACCACCCCGCCACGTTCTCCCGCTTTCCATCACCCCACCTCATTCTCCCCCTTTCCATCACCCCGCCCCATTCTCCCGCTCTCACTCACCCCGCCCCATTCTCCCGTTTCCATCACCCCTCCCCATTCTCCCTCTTTCCATCACCCCGCCCCATTCTCCCTCTTTCCATCACCCTGCCCCATTCTCCCGCTTTCTATCACGCCGCCCCATTCTCCCGCTTTCCATCATCCCGCTCCATTCTCCCCCTTTCCATCACCCCACCCAATTCTCCCTCTTTCCATCACCCCTCCCCATTCTCCCTCTTTCCATCACCCCGCCCCATTCTCCCGCTTTCCATCACCCCGCCCCATTCTCCCGCTTTCCATCACCCCGCCCCATTCTCCCTCTTTCCACCACCCCGCCCCTTTCTCCCTTTTTCCATCACCCCGCCCCATTCTCCCGTTTTCCATCACCCCAACCCATTCTCCCTCTTTCCATCACCCCGCCCCATTCTCACTCTTTCCATCACCCCGCCCCATTCTCACTCTTTCCATCACCCCGCCCCATTCTCTCGCTTTCCATCACCCCGCCCCATTCTCCCTCTTTCCATCACCCCGCCCCATTCTCCCTCTTTCCATCACCCCGCCCTATTCTCCCGCTTTCCATTACCGCGCCCTACTCTCCATCTTTCCATCACCCCGCCCTATTCTCCCGCCTTCCATCACCCCGCCCCATTCTCCCGCTTTCTATCATCCCGCCCCATTCTCCCGCTTTCCATCACCCCGCCCCATTCTCCCTCTTTCCATCACCCCTCCCCATTCTCCCGCTGTCCATCACCCCGCCCCATTCTCCCGCTTTCCATGGTATAATGTAAAGGAAATGCGAAACATATGTGGTTTTTACTGTATCTATACAGAGAGAATGATGTGTGGGTCAGTTTGGTCAATATGCACGTTTGTGTGCAGGTACAAGGCGGAGCTGGAGCTCTGAAGTATCTTAAATAATGTGGATCTAAATGGTTAGAACGTAGTGTTGTTAAAGTAGATGCCCTAATATAGTGGACTGGCAAGAAAATGGTACTAACCGCATCTCTACAAACATACGTAATGCGTTGGTCAAGTTGGTCGGTATGCGCACCTGTAGTGTAGGTACCATGCACGACTAGAATGCCTATATTTGGCAAATTACATAGATCCAAAAGGTTACAACCTAAAAGAGGGGTGGGGAATGGTATACTGTAAAGGATGAGCGTAACATATGTATTATTCACTCTACTTATCCAGAGAAAATGATGCGTGCGCCGGTTCGGGGAGTATGCACGCTTGTGTGCAGGTACAAGGCAGAGCTGGAGCTTTGAAACATTGCAAATTATGTGTATCTTGAAGGTTAGAGCCAGTGTTGTTAAATTAGATGCGGTATTCACTATATCTATACAGAGAGAATGATGCGTGGGTCAGTTTGGTCAATATGCACATTTGTGTGCAGGTACAAGGCGGAGCTGGAGCTTTGAAATATTGCAAATCATGTGGATCTTAAAAGTTAGAACCTAGTATTTTTAAAGTAGATGTCCTAATCTAGTGGACTTGCAAGAAAATGCTACTAACTGCATCTCTACAAACATACGTAATGCGCTGGTCAGTTTGGTCGTTATGCGTGCCTATTCTGAAGGTACCATGCACGACTGGAATGCCTATTTTTGGCAAATTACATAGATCCAAAAGGTTATAACCCAGTAGAGGGGTGGGGAATGGTATAATGTAAAGGAAATGCGAAACATATGTGGTATTCACAATATCTATACAGAGAGAATGATGTGTGGGTCAGTTTGGTCAGTACGCACGCTTGTGTGCAGGTACAAGGCGGAGCTGGAGCTCTGTAATATCTTAAATTATGTGGATCTAAAAGGTTAAAACCTAGTTGTATTAAAGTAGATAACCTAATCTAGTGGACTGGCAAGAAAATTGTACTAACCGCATCAATACAAACATACGTAATGCGCTGGTCAGTTCGGTCGGTATGCGTGCCTATTGTGCAGTTACCATGAACGACTGGAATGCTTTTTTTTGGCGAATTACATAGATCCAAAAGTTTAGAACCTATTAGAGGGGTGGGGAATGGTATACTGTAAAGGAAGAGCAAAATATATGTGAAATTCACTGTATCTATACAGAGAGAATGATACGTGGGTCAATTCGGGTAGTATGCACGCTTGTCTGCAGGTACAAGGCGGAGCTGAAGCTCTGAAATATTGCAAATTATGTTGATCTAAAAGGTTAGAATCTAGTAGACTGGCAAGAAAATGGTACTAACTGCATCTCTATAAACATACGTAATGCGTAGGTCAGTTTGGTCGGTATGCGTGCCTGTAGTGCAGGTACCATGCACGACAGGAATGCCTATATTTGGCGAATTACATAGAACCAAAAGGTTAGAACCTGGTAGAGGGGTGGGGAATGGAATAATGTAAACGAAAAGCGAAACATATGTGGTATTCACTCTACTTGTTCAAAGAATATGATGCGTGAGACAGTTCGGGTAGTATGCACGCTTGTGTGCAGGTACAAGGCGGAGCTGTAGCTCTGAAATCTTGCAAATTATGTGGATCTAAAAGGTTAGAACCTAGTGTTGTAAAAGTAGATGGCCCAACGCAGCAGAGCGTGCTAGCAACGCAGCAGAACGTGCTAGCAACGCAGCAGAGCGTGTTAGCAACGCAGCAGAGCGTGCTAGCAACGCAGCTGAGCGTGCTAGCAACGCAGCAGAGCGTGCTAGCAACGCAGCATAGCGTGCTAGCAATGCAGCAGAGGTGCAGCAGAGCACGCACCTCTCCATCTCGGTGCCCTTGTTGCTCTGCCTCACGTGGCTTGTGAGTCGACTCAAAACGCACCTCCATCTCTGTGTCCTAGTGAGCCCCACGCACCTCTCCATCTCAGTGCCCCTGTCGCGCCTCACGTGACTTGTGAGTGGACTCAAAACGCACCTCCATCTCTATGCGGTATTGAGCCCCACGCACCTCTCCATCTCGTTGCCCTTGTCGCTCTGCCTCCCGTAACTTGTGAGTTGACTTAATGCGCACCTCCATGTCTGTGTTGTATTGAGCGCTACGCACCTCTCCATCTCAGTGCCCTTGTCGCCTCGCCCTGCCTCGCGTGACTTGTGAGTCAACTCAAAACGCACCTCCATCTCTGTGTCGTAGTGAGCCCCACGCACGTCTCCATCTCAGTGCCCTTGTCGCCCTGCCTCGCGTGACTTGTGAGTCGACTCAAAGCGCACCTCCATCTCTGTGTTGTAGTAAGCCCCACGCACCTCTCCTCAGTGCCCTTGTCACTCTGCCTCATGTGACTTGTGAGTCGACTCAAAACGCACCTCCATCTCTGGTCGTTGTTTCCATTTCATTCCATGTGGTTCTCAAAATTTGAGCGCCTGAAATTTGCATGGTACGCCCATTATAGGTGCGCATACTAACTAGACTACCCAACGCATCACTTTGACTGGTCCACTGCATTGGACGCCTCTTCTTTTTTGCTAGTCCACTAGATTAGACTCTTTTCCATGTCCACAACAAGTGTTTCCATTTAGTTCCATGTGGCTCCCAAAATTTGAGCTCCTGAACTATGCGTGGTACGCCCATTTTAGGTGCGCATACTAACCAAAGTACCTTGTGCATCTCTTTGACTGGTCCACTGCATTAGACACCTCTTCTTTTGTGCTAGTCGACTAGATTATACCATTTTCCACATCCATAACAAGTGTTTCAATTTCGTTCCATGTGGTTCTCAAAATTTGAGCGCCTGAACTATGCGTGGTACGCCCATTATAGGTGCGCATACTGAGCAGACTGCCCAACGCACCACTTTGACTGGTCCACTGCATTGGACGCCTCTTCATTTGCACTAGTCCACTAGATTATACTATTTTCCACATCCACAACAAGTGTTTCCATTTCATTCCATGTGGTTCTCAAAATTTGAGCGCCTCAACTATGCGTGGTACGCCCATTACAGGTGCGCATACTAACCAGACTGCCCAACGCACCACTTTGACCGGTTCACTGCATTAGACGCCTCTCCTTTTGTGCTAGTCCACTAGGTTATACTTTTTTCCACATCCACAACAAGTGTTTCCATTTTGTTCCATGTGGTTTGTTGGTGCAGCCCTACGGTTTGCACTCGGCTTGTTGTCCGTGTGCGTGCATGTGTGTCTGTATGGAATGGTATGAGGGCATGGGATAATATATATTTCATGCTTATAATTGTGTGTGAATGTTGGGTCCTGATGTCGAGTGTGTGTGTCGAGTCAATAGCGAGTTATCGCTAGACGCATGTTACGCGGTCGTTTGTGTCTCGCGCGCGGTTTTTATTTTTGTCGTGAGCGGTTTCTATTTTGTCCTGTGTCGAACGTTCGGTGTGTCGCAGGTGTGTGCAGCAGACCCATCAAGAACTCAAGGATGAGTTTGTGATGAAGAGCCCGAGCCTTGGTGTCAAGCCTCAAGTGATTTCGAAGCTCGCCAAAAGGGTACACCTCAAAATATTGAAGATAGTTACATTACTTTGTGTAGTGTAACATTTCACTTGGTGTAGGCCCTAGTGAAGGGTAGTTTCGAGACCCTTCGTGGTTGGGGACAGTGTGGCACTGTTCCACATCACTGTACCTCGCCTCTTGGGGTTTGTAGGAGCTGGGAGTCATTCCCAACTCGTAACTCTTCCTAGCTTGTGTTCTAAGACTATGTTGCTGCCATAGTGCTGTTCGTTCAAACCGATGCTGTGTCGTCAATACTTGGTCATATCGTGCGATTTAACTTGCCTAGTGTAGGCGAGAATAAGACGCTCCAGATCCAAGTTGAATCAAGTCATTTGATGTTGTGACCAGAACGCTATGAACGTTTGAAGCCGCTGTGCATAAATCCGGCTGTGCACTCTATCTTTCGTTTTAGGCACATTGGAGCCTACTGTGACTATAACAAAAGGTATCAGAGCCCCTTGGAGCAGTTTCGACAATGGCTGGATCTGAGGAAAGGGGTGGCAGAGGTGCTGGTGGCAGAGGAGAAGCCCAAGCTCAAGGCCAACCCCGTGATTCAGCCATGGCGCCTGTGCAATCAAGTGTTGGCCCATCTAGGGATGAGCCTAGAGTGTTTGGCCTTGACAAGTTCAATGGTGACAACTTTGCTGAGTGGTCCTTCAGAATGGAGAACATATTTGACCACTATGACCTGCTGGAGGTAATGGAAGGAACGGAGAAGCGTCCCGAGAACGACCCGGAGAAGAGCCCGTGGGTGCGGAAGAGCGCACAAGGCTACCTCCTACTTGGGCAAGCGTTGGGGAGCAGCCAAATCCGTCACATCGAGCCTTTCCAGCGTGAACCAGAGAAGGGACCAAAGGCATGGGATGCTCTCAAGGGTGTACACGCTCCTGCAACAGCGGCGGTAGCTGTGGTGTTGGAACAGCAAATGGCGACACTACGAATTGAAGAGGATGAAGCGGTTGAAAAAGGGGTGCAGAAATTCTTCGACTTGTTGACGCGGCTTGAGGGAGCTGATTTGAACTAAAGTGAGCTCCAAAAGAAGACCAAGTTGCTGGCCCTACTCCCTGAGTCATGGTCCTCGCTCATCATCAACCTCAATTGCGACTTGCCCCGCCTCTCGCTTGAAGACGTGAAGCGAGCTATCCTTCAAGAGGATTTCCGCCGCCGTGAGTTGGCGAGTGCGGATGGCGCTGGGGCAGCGAGCATCGGCCGTGGATATGGTCGAGGAAGAGGTAGAGGACGAGGGGGAGGAAGGTTTGGTGGCAGCAACTTCGGCGGAGGCCGCGGGAGTGGCGGTTACGGCAGCGACGACAAGAGCTACGAACGTGGTCGCGGCCGATTCGACGGCGAGTGTCA